TTAATTGCAGTATATACTTGATTTGTATAGGTAATAAATAGGAATAAAATGTAATAGGTTCAGTCATTATGCAAACTATGAAAACATTCCAGAAATACTGGCCCCAAGGGTGTTCAGCTCTGGTTCTGGAGAGCTGGTGTCCAGAACAGTTTGATAATCCCCCTACTCAAACACATCCTAAACATGGAAATTAACAGATGTGTTCAATCAGGAGTGTTTGAGCAGAAAAAAATGACCAAACTGTCCTAGACATCAGCCCTCCAAGACAGAGCTGAACACCCCTGCCTTACTCAGATAATTGCTGAAAGCTCTAAGATTTGATAATTGTAGTCATTTTATAAATAAACACAGAGATTACACTTACTGTTAAACATATTTTAGGATTTAAATGTAATGCTGATAATGTTGAAACTTTCACCGGAAGCAATGCAGGAGGAGTCACCAGAAGCAACCCGAGTAACACCACTTGACACTGCGCTTATGTCCCTGCCAGAGAAGAAGAATTCACCTCAGATACCTTCTGTTAAAGGTAACAGAGAGGCTAATTCTGCTTCTCTCAATGTGTTTGCCACAAAGCACAAAACAAGTTTTAATTTGTAGTAGACTTAGGCCATGTAAAGAAAATTGTTGCATTGGCACAGGTCAGTGTCACTGCTATGACAAGTAAAATGAAACAGTTGGTAGGAAAGCTATGCTGAAAAAAAAATCTCTCTTAAAACTGTAGCTGTGGAAAAAAAACTCACTGATACACCATATTTCACTGTATTTCCTACCTGATTACATATCATGAAATTAAATCACGTAAACCTCATGTTTTAGTGACTACAGTAACAGGCTTTTGTTTGTGTGCCTCTAAGATTGAAATATGATCAGTTATCTCTGTTATTCAGAAATCACTCAGAAGTGAAAGACTTTTTAGAACTGCAGTGTGAATAAGCAGGGATAAACTGCTGTAGGCTTAATAGGTTGGTTCCTGTGACACAGAACCTGAATTCAAAACTGGCTGTTTTTGCAGCATAGTTTCCATATATTATGGAGCCCCGGAGGGGACGGAGGTTAAAAAGTAATTAATTCAAGAGAACGTTTTGCAGTTCTTACACGTTTTCTTTTATTCGTGGTCACGATTTCTTAAATTGTTCCCTCGCTTTCTTTAATCGTGGTCATGTTTTATTTTTAACTGAACGCACGTTATTTGTTTTTTTCGTGCACAAACAAAGTACATGTAGTAGATACAGGCCGCTAACAGCTCCCTGAGACTGTCTGATGGCTTTTAATGTGTTAGATTGATGAGATTATGAACAGAGATGCTCATCAGGTCTGAGTTTGGATTGGGAGGTTATGAGGAAAGTGTAGTTCTCCTTCACAGCAAACGGCCCACAGTGTTTCTGCTCCCGCGTGAAGCTGCGGTGTTAGAGACCATCACACAATTGCAGGACGAAGTGATCAGCGTTTAAACATCCTCACATTAATATATCTACATCTAATCCATAGATCTGTTAAACTCTCTCGCCATTTGACCTCATCCCACATTAATGTTTCTGTGTGTTTAATTTGAGTTTGTTGAAATGTTGACGCTGATCATTTCTTAATGTAATTGTGTGATGGTCTCTAACATCACACAATTTTGACGCGGGAGCAGAAACAGCGCTAAGCGGCTGCGCTGCGTCTACATCTCTGTTAAACAATATCATTAGAAAGTGCAGTTCAGTGAAGATTGTGGTTGTAGTCTTCCTTCATTTCACCACCAAACTGCAGCTGCACTGACAAATCTGAGGGCCATTTGCTGTGAAGAGGAGCTGCAGTTTCCTCATAAGACCTGATGAGCATTTCTGTCCATTATCTCATCAATCTAACACATCAAAACCTGTCAGACAGTCTCAGGGAGCTGTTAGTCACTTCTGCACAGGACAAATAACACGACGTGTATCTACTACATTGATTTTGCGCACAAATTAAAAAAAACAACGTATGTTTACTTAAAAATAAAACATGATCACGATTAAAAAAAAAAGAGAGAATGAATTAGAAAATCGTGATCAATAATTAAAAAAAAAACACCCATAAAATAAAGAAAACATGCACGATTAAAAGAAAACGAGGGAACAATTTAAGAAATCGTGATTACGAATAAAAGAAAACGTGCATACAAATGGCAAAACGCTCACTCAAATTAAGTGTGTGTGTGTGTCTGTGTATATATATATATATATATATATATATATATATAAGTATATAAATTTTTTTGTTTTGTTTTTTTTTTTACCCTCCGTCCCTTCCGGGGCTCCGTAATATACAGAAACTTAGACAGCGTTTACATATTAATTCAAAATCCATTATTTTCATATGGGTTCTTTAAAACATTTAATATCTAGCGAGTGATGGTCCTGTGGTGTCAAGCAACATTTGAGCTACAGTCAGTAATTGTACACCTATACAATGCATCTGTTTAGTATGATTACTGAAAAAATGGCCAATCAGTGTTAATACAGGGTACTAAACTGGCAGATCCTTTTAAGCCAAAAATGTCAGAAAATTCATTTTTAACACTCCTAGTATCCTTTGTTCTTTTGCTGTTGTTTGTCTTATTAACTTTTGTGAGTGATGATTATCAGCGTCTCTTATGCTTGCATCTGAACTTCTGAATACCAGTGTAACGTTCACACAAATTAATTTTCATTATTTCTTAAGAGAGTTCAACAACATGATTGAAGCAGTTGAACAAATTCCCTATTTGCTTAATCACTGTACAGCATTTTCCTTTATATTAATATTTATTTCTCATATTTAGGTAAAACATCTGCACAGAAAAGAAGAAAAGCTTGGGAAGTGACAGAGATCCAGGCTGTGGAAAGACACCTGAAAAACTTTATCACTTCATGCCGTGTCCCAGGGAAGGCAGCCTGTGAGAAGTGCATAAGAGCTGAGTCTTCAGCACTTAAAAACAGAGATTGGCAGAGTGTTAAATTCTATGTTCACAATCGCATTGTGGCTTACAAGAGAGATGTAAGCCACAAAGTGTAATTTTTTTTTCTTCTGAAAAAGATGTAAATACACCAATTCTGACCTCTTTGTTTCTACGCTCATTGTCCATTTTATCAGCTCCACTTACTATATAGGTGCACTTTGTAGTTCTACAGTTACAGACTGTAGTCCATCTGTTTCTCTGATACTTTGTTAGCCCCCTTTTACCCTGTTCTTCAGTGGTCAGGACCCCCATTGACCCTCACAGAGCAGGTACTATTTGGGTGGTGGGTCATTCTCAGCACTGCAGTAACACTGTCGTGGTGGTGGTGTGTTAGTATGTGTTGTGCTGGTACAAGTGGATCGGACACAGCAGTGCACAGCTATAGTCAGAGACGATAGCTCATCTGCTGCTTCACAGTTTGTGTTGGCCATCCTCTAGCCCTTCATCAGTGGTCACAGGAGGCTGTCGGCTGGATATTTTTGTTTGGTGGACTATTCTCAGTCCAGCAGCGACACTGAGGTGTTTAAAAACTCCAGCAGCACTGCTGTGTCTGATCCACTCAGACCAGCACAACACACACTAACACACCACCACCACGTCAGTGTTACTGCAGTGCTGAGAATGATCCACCACCCAAACAGTACCTGCTCTGAGGGTCCATGGGGGTCCTGACCACTGAAGAACAGGGTAAAAGGGGGCTAACAAAGTATCAGAGAAACAGATGGACTACAGTCTGTAACTGTAGAACTACAGAGTGCACCTATATAGTAAGTGGAGCTGATAAGTGAAGGGTATATGGGCATACAGTAGTTCTTTGTCCAGTGAAGCTAAAAACTGCTTATCTGCTTAAGTTTATCACAGTGCTATAGACTAGTATTGTGTTCTGTGACTACAAAAACAATTATTTGACCGGAATAAAAAAGGAGTAATTTGTTACACCAAGATTGCTGTCTTGTGTATGCACTTAAAGAAACTACAAATATTTTGAGTTACATTTGTAATTAGAGTTTAATGTTTTTAAATGTCCCCCTGATGTTCTGTAACCAACTGCTCTGTGTGTATGCAAATTAGGTCCCAAGTATGGTCCCCATTATGTTATAGTAATCACCGAATTTCTGTGTTATGCAAATTTAGTCCCAAGTCCCCATTTGGCAGGATCATAACACACTGGTAAACTTACTTGGTTAAATCAAAAATCTGAGATGATCTTTGTGTTTCCTGATTTTAATTATACTTGCATGATTTTTTTCATGTCTGTAGGACCATGGGAAAGTGGTGTCCCCGAATAGCATGTCCCTGACTAGTGTCCCCCCGAAGAGATAATTACAAGAAAGTGTGTGTGTGTGTGTGTGTGTGTGTGTGTGTTCTGTGTGTGTGTGTTGTGTGATTTTCACTCAGGAGGTTATTTTATTTTAAACACACTGAGGAGCCGTAACTACAGAACCCAAACCCAGCGCAGAGCGGTTCAGTGAATGTGGTGTTGAAAGTGTGTAGATGGGTCAGTTTATCAGTGGAGACGCTGTAGAAGGACAGAGAGCCGGCCGGACAGTCCAGATACACTCCTACTGTCCCAGAGCTGGAGGGACGAGCAGAGAGTTCAGTGCTGATATTATTGTGACGGACAGAGTAACTGTTATTAGAGCAGCTCAGAATCCAGGACTTTACATTCCGTCCAAACCCACAGTCAGCACTGTCTCCTTTCCTGCTGATTGATTTATATGTTACTGCTATATAAACCGTCCCGCTCCACTCAGCCTCCCAGTAACAGCGTCCAGTCAGACTCTCTCTACACAGAACCTGAGCATAGCGATTAAATCTCTCTGGATGATCAGGATACGACTGTGAAGACCACACACGCTCCACCTTTCTGTTCCCCTCAGACAGAGAGAGATTTCTGTGCGCTGTGTTTGGATCCAGAGTGACCTCACAGGAATCTGCACACAAGAAGAGACATTAGAGTGGGTGAGTGTGTGTGTGTGTGTGTGTGTGTGTGTGTGTGTGTGACGTGTGTGTGTGTGTGTGTGTGTGTGTGAGCGTTTTGGTATTTGTGGTTTACGAGGACCTTTCAGCTGATTCGATTTGATTTGATTAGTTTAGTCGTCACATTCAGAAACTCAGCTAGTTCAGAAATAAAAGTGAGACTTCAGCTGTAATAAGATTGTCTTGATCTCCTTTTAGCAACAGTCAATCAAACAAAGAGAGTAAAATATTTCATATATGAAAAGATCAAAATAAAACTGTTATTTTTCTATAAAGAGTGGAGTCATCATGGAAAATGGCTGCCATGGAGCTGAGAAAGAGAACTGAATCCAGAAGAAGAGGCAGCAAATGTTACACCTGTTTATAAAGACAAAGATGGGTTTGGTGTGAAATATATAAATCCAGAAAAAGGTAATTTAATATTCATATAAAAGGGGGCTAACAAAGTATCAGAGAAACAGATGGACTACAGTCTGTAACTGTAGAACTACAAAGTGCACCTATATAGTAAGTGGAGCTGATAAAATGGACAATGAGTGTAGAAACAAGGAGGTGGTCAGAATGTTATGCCTGATCAGTGTATCTTGCTGAAATGTTTAAATTGGAGCAGTTTTATTTCAACAGTTGACAGCGCTTTGCACAAATTGTTTGGTTTGTATTCAGTTATTTTTGTTAGGAAAAATCTGGAATGATTGACTTTGCATTTAGTCTTAATGTTTGTTGGATATCACAGCTTTGGGTGTGTAAGTTTGATCGTTGGTCACACTTTTTGGTCATCTTTTTGTATATTTTCAGTTGTCTGTTTCTTTCTGGCTCATGATTAAATGCAGTGTCTTGTTCACACTGTCAGCTGGGCTTGTTTGGGGTGTCAGCTGGGCTTGTTTGGGGTGTCAGCTGGGCTTGTTTGGGGTGTCAGCTGGGCTTGTTTGGTGTGTCAGGTGGAGATTCAAACATTCTGACAGTTGCGCTTTGAAAGTCGCTAAAAAGTAGCCTCTACTCTTTCTGGAAAAGTAGCTAAACTGTAGCAGCTACAAATTTTGGGAAAGTAGCTATAAAGTAGCTAACTACTAATTTTTCAGTAGCTATCCCAACCCTGAATAACACAAACAACTTGATTGTGTCCTGCGATTATTGATTACAAGGACATGTTGTGTCCTGTTGTGTCCTGTTGTGTACTTGACTAAAGCTGTTGTGAGAGTTGTGTTTTTGTATACGTGACTTAAAGCTGCTTTATAAGAACAGGTTTGGTTTGTGACGACTGTACTTCAAGATACTTTGTTAACTTTTGCACCAACACAGTGATCATTACTGTATTCATAACACTTTGAACATTGATTCAGATCCACATTCTTTGACATCATTATTTATTATTCATCATTACTTTATCATGTGTCATTTATAATTTTTTAGACCCAACTCATGACTTTAGTAAGAGCAGTGTTTGTTTTGTGAGGGCTAAATGGGAGACTGGGAAAGGTATAACATGTTCATCAGTACATAAGAACTACCTTTAAATCAATTTTAGAGCTGTTTACCACAGGATTAACATTACAGTACGATATCCAAGTAATAAAGATCTTGCGCTTAATGTATATTGATGGAGCTCAGTCTTATTGTATGGTGATGGTGTCACTGTCTCTATACTGTAGAAGTGAACTCTGTAATCATATCAAACAACTGAAAACTGGAGTTCTGGTGATGCAGAAGGTGGATTTTATTGTGTCTCTAGAGTGACTGACGATGACAGTAAAGCAGCTAATAGACCAGTAGCCTGTTGCCGGTGATTAACTGAATCTTCTACCCTAATCTGTGACCTAGTTTTACATTAAAAGCTACACTGGTAGCTACGGTGGTTAGTTTAAAACTGTGCTGCAGAGAATATAAAATCTTGAACATGTGCACATTAAAACTGATCATATAAATATGTAAACATTGTCCTTACATTTATCTTTTTATTTGGCATTTAAAAAGTACAGCGAAAGGTTTCCACAGTACGAGTTTTTCTTCCTCTCACATATTAAATGACCAGTTCTGATTCACACCTCCCTCTTTTTCAGCAGTTTCAGAAACATTCGAGGCTGTTGAAGTTTTGTCTGGCCTGGACAAATCCTCAGTTTCTTATGGGCCACTTGCACCGATTAGATGGGCTTAGATGTGAAAGTAAGTTAGGCTGCATGTTTCACTTTACAGTTCATGTGTGCCTGAAAAGCTTCAAGGGTTTATATATACCACATTTGATGGAGTCATGAATTCAGGCCTCTTAGATGGTCGTCATTATTTGTTTCTCTTTTAGTCTGTTCTGGGATCTGGAATAAAGCTTGTCTGGTCAAAAGCGCTTCTGATGGAGAGAACAGAATCATGGGTAGTTCAATTAAATTAAGTTCAGCTTCAAGGGTTTGTGTATCCATTGAATCATGATTTAGAACAGCAGCGTCACACTTTCACTCCAAAATTCACACACTTCCACCAGAGCTACAGAGATTCACTCAGGAGGGGGATTTTCTTATTCAGGGATGTATTTTTCCACTGTATTCCATCTAAAACATGTACTTTTTTAAATAACCATATGTATATTTGAATTGTGGTGGTGTAAATATGTATGTAATGTTGATTTTTTTACAGGTAATCTTAAGTGAGCTAAGCTAACTAGCTGGAGCTAATAAGGTGGCAGTTCATGAAATATAACATAAGCATAGATCCTCTAAGACTGTTATCTTGGGCACAGATGCTCAACATAAATAACATATTTGGAGCTTATATATAGCTTAGCCCTTTGTGTTAGCTGAGCATTCGTTAGCCGTGGCTGCTTTGCGTTTAGCAGACTGGGGTAACTGGGGCTGCTTTATTGTGAATTGATGTCAGGTGCAGCTGTTTAATCTTGAAATAAAGACAAGAGGACTTATTTTCTCTGGAGCTGAGGGCGTTAATAGGTTAAGATACTCAAAGTACAGTATGTTGGATTGTAATGGAGCTAACCTGCTGCTAACGTAGTTAGTGATAGCGATAGCTATCCACGCTAGCAGTTTGAATTAATCAAGTTTGTTATTTCTTTATTGATATGCGGCTGTTTGCTTGTTGATTTTTAAACCAGAGTACTTTCATGGTTTTAAACATTGTAGATCAGATTTATTTTAAAGTGACAGAGTAATTTTTTATTTTTTTTAATTCAGCCAGGTGAGTTTGGGTCAGCAGTGGTGAGAAGGGTGGTGTTGGGTCGCGTGTGCTCTGTGGAGAAGCAGTGGCGTCCTGAGGTTAGCTTATGGCTAATGTTAGCAACCATTTAGACAAATGTAACAGTCCTTTATGGGCTGGGTGAATTCAGAATGTGATAAAAGCCTGAAACAGCATGTTTATCTGATCATCCACAGTTTTATACTCGGACACAGCTGGATGGTTGAATGTGCAAACATGGCAGTGTTCATGGTGACTTAAACTATAAAGGTGGGTTCATAATTAGAAACGCTGGTGTGGTGTTTCCACAGTTAGCAGAGCTGGACTAAGACTAGTTTACTCATTCTACGAGTAAATAAAGCTGAGCTGAACAGCTGAAGGCCTAAAGGTGCTCTGCAGATTTAAAAACTGACCAGGGCAGCATTTAGTGTAACACCTGTTCTACTGTAGTTCCTGAGAAAGATGAAAAGTATGATCTATGTGAGGTCTATACTGACGTTTTAATAAATGAATATTTTTAATTACATACAGTAACGTTTATACCATGGAAATGAATTTTTGGATGTAAAACATGTTTTATGATTGTTTTATTTGTGTGACATTTTACACACCTTGTAGATTTTAATATGAACACCAGCTTCATTCCGTCTGTAGCAAATAATTTATAATAATTGCACTGATTTTATCAGATAAACACCACTGAGGTGTTTAAGGAGCACCTTAACTCAGTGTTTATATATGTCAGCACATGTCTCATATGAGTATAACATTATCATTGTTAGAGATGAAACGATATTAAAATTTCATATCACGATTATCATGACCAAAATTATCACGATTATCAGTATTATCGCGATATTGTTCAAATGTGTTGAAAAGTAAAATAAATTAAAAATAAATACTGATACACAAACTGAAACTCGTTTCACCAACTTTTATATTAACACAAATAGAATTGGCAGCAATATGCACTTTTTGTTTGCATAAACATAAAAAAATAAGGTCAATACATTTTTAGTATTACTTTTGTATTACTTACAATACTTGTAATACTCTGTAAACAAAAGAATAGCAAATGTATTATTATTACTGTTATTATTCTTATTATTACTGTTGTAATTATTATTATTATTATTATTATTATTATTAATTACAATAACTAGGGATTTCCCTGCATAGAGAATTAAATCTTGACCAACTCTGAGGTGGGTCTTAATGGAAAATGACTACTTCTAAGAAGTGCTGCACTCGGGGGGTTTCTGTCCGAACTGCAGCTGCAGCATTATTGTGCCGCTGTGGCGCTGAACCCCTAATCAACACAGCGCACCAGGAAAAACAGCCAAAATCACAGAGGAATTGCGTGACCGCGCTGTGAGCTGCAGACACTGTAGAACTCACACAGTGTGTCTTCACCTGTGGAGCTGCTTCTCTAAAAGCATTTTAAAACTAAAACATAACATAAATTAACATGCATCTGAGCTGCGGCAGAAACACTCCTAAAGTTTAATCTCTGAAACTCCGCTTTTCCTAAAAGCAGCACGCAGCGTTTACTTGCGCGAGGTCCCGTCTCAAAGCACACTATCTTCCCTATGTAGTGCACTTTGTGGATTATGAAATAGCAAATCCTTCACCCAAAGAGTGCAGGAAATGTTCACAATAACAATATCTTAACAACAGGTTACAAATTCCCTATTTAAAACTCAGCTGCTTGTTGATGATGATCGTGTTTGAACAGTAGCGCCCTCTGTAGGGGACACTGAGTGATTTGAGACGGTGTTATTCT